ACCCCAAGCAAAATTCCCATGCCCAACCATGCCGCCAATTTTACCCCCTCTCCAGATCTCCATACCCACACACACAACCCAGCCGTTTTTCCACCCGATAGTGATGCTCTACTTTCCTTCTTCACCCATGGAGCATTTCCCAGAGTGGCAACCCCATTCCTGGATGGTTCAGCATGGAGTATAGTCTCACATGGTCTTGACAGCACCTGTCAATGTGTCAGAAACTGTGTTCGAGGTGATCGCAGGAAGCGGAGCGGAGTACGGCGGTGTGAGTGGTCACTTAGCTAATGAGCTACTCCGTTGCAAGGCGTCGTGGGGTTGGGACTTCGGCTTCAACGACTTGGCCAGAGCATTGCGCCACACGTTCTAGGCTGTCCCGTATTTCACGTTAGCAGGAAAGACCTTGCGGCGACGTTGACTTAAGTGGGATGAAGTTGAGAGGCGAACTTAGGATGAAAGTACCTGGGGGGGAATTCTAGTCGATATTCAAACTAAGGTACATTGACAGTAAACTACAAGTATAAATAAGAAAGGAGAACAGAGAAGGGACCAGTCGGTCCGGCGCGGGACGGGAGCGGGATGATGAGTATGACAGAACTAAAAGAGCGATGAGGACCAGGGTAATGGAACAGAGGACGGCGAAGTTGGGAGGCAGAATGGATAGGCTGACAATCTAGGCGCGCAGATCAGAATGTTAATATACGTATAAATCAAATATCAATAAAGGAATAATCAATTGTCAATAAAGGAATGTCAATAAGGAGCAGATCAACGGCGACCATAACAACCGCTAGTTAGTTAAGCGAATGAATAGAATAAAACGGTATCGGCCGAATGGTTGAGGAACCCAAGTGGTGGCGGGAGAACGAAGGAGGCGCTGCTATGGGGCTGTAGAACGGGAACCACTATCGGCGCCGCTAAGTGATGGGCAATGGCGAGATTAACGGGCACGAGTAACGGCGCAAGAGTGGGGGTGCAGAAAGTGGGGAAGGGGTGGGGACTTTGCGGGGCCGTGACACAATGGCCACATCTCAAGAAGTACTGCACCAATTGGGATGAATAAGGGCTCGTTGGAAAGCTGGAGACGAGGAGGTTGCTGACGGGAGGATAGGCGGGCGCCGTGGCAAAGTGTTGCAGAGTTGACCTTCACAATTCCCATTTCGGACCTGTTATCATATATTCCCCATTCATTCATATTTCTTTTATTGTTTCTTTGTTCCCAATTAGATATTCATCACTTACGGTTGCCTAACAGCCCATTTACATTCCCTCATTCCATTCATTCCATTTCCAACTCATATAAAATAGATAATAGCTTGTACATAACAAGTTAGTACTGAATAGACCCATGAAGGGACAAGCAGAAGTTACATCCAAGTGGCAAAGACGCCATCCACAACCCTAACGCCCCCTCTGAGCTAGTTGCTCACGTCTAAGACCCCTCTCATCATAATACTCAGCCTTGATGTCCAAGAGAGACGTAGGTGAGTGTTTGTTTGAGGTTTTTGCAGACTCAGTAGCGCCCACGGACCAAAACCCAGCCCCACGAACCTCACCCATGCACACTACAACCCTCCCCCTCTTCTCTGTCTCTGTCAGGGCCCGGCCTCGGACTCGGAGGCTCCCTGACCTCAACCCCCATCTGGCCTGTCCTCACACTATGCGGGGCATGAGATGTATAGTAAAAGGAAAGATAATATATACACTTGCCTATGCGGGGCATGAGATGAGAAGAAGGGTAAAGGTCTCATCTCCCCGCATGGTTGCTATATAAAGGAATGGGTCACATGCCCACAACTATACAGCTCCTAGAGTTGTGTAGTGTGACCCGGAGGGAACATCCAGGTGGCAGTGCCCAGTAAGCGTGGGAACGTTCTGGGTGAGTTGCTCGCCCAGAACTGTGGCTGTGACCCGTGGGAACATTCTGGGCGAGCTGCTCGCTCAGAAAGTTCCCACGCTATCCCGTGCACGCGCATGTACACAACACACAAAGGCAACAACAAGGCAACAGTCAAAGAATAAAAGGGGGTAAAGTAGGTGGGGAGTCCGGGGCACCCTAAGGCAGGGTGCTGAACCCTGACAGTCTCGAGTCAAGGCGATTGACCCATTACAATGTTGATATCAACACTCAGCAACATGGGTACTTTCATCGCTCAAATGTTGGTATGTGGTCACTTGAATCACGTAACTTTGCTTGACTGCCTGGCTTTCCCCTTAGAACCATCAAATCATCACACAGGTTGTTGGAGGACACTTGTTGAATCTTGGAGTCTGCATCCAGCGCTCACAACTTCACGTCATTGTATTTTCTTTGGTGGAATTCTCGGTAGCTTTCACTGGGTGGGGATTGGGGTGCCTGACCATTTGGGCCAGGCAAAGCAGGGGTAGTTGAATGCAGGGGAATCCATTGTTGCATTGGCAATTATCACTGTGTGTGGGGCTTCCCTGACCCAGTGTCACGGCCGTGCATTCCGGCCCGTTAGCCGCCCGTCCCGATGCTGCCCGAGCCCGTTACCGCTATGTGAGCGTGAGCGCGAGCCCCGACCTCAGCCCTATCCTTCATGAGGACTCCCTGCTCACTCCCCCGCTTGCCCCTAGGCTCCCCTGCACCTGGCCGACTCCCCCACAGCCCCACCAACCTTCCCACCCCGAGTCCGCCTCCGGCACCATGCCCAGCGCAACTCCCCTACCCCGCCCACTTGGCCCCTACAGGGCTGCTATCATCCCCGCACCCGACTCCGGCCCAACTCCGAGTCCAGCACTGCTACAATACCATCGCCGCTATCGCGGCCCTACGCTCTTTCCTTTATTTATCTGTTATTGTTTGTTTTGACCCTCAGTCATTGCTGGCTGCTATGCGGCCAACCCCGCTCCTTCTTCTTGTTTGCTTCCGGACCCTTCGGCCTCCGGCCCGGGTCCGCTTCCATTCATTTCTTCTTCCTATATATATCCTGTATGATACTTTATTGTACCTTAGCTCTAATATCGATGTGACCACGACCCCTAAGTCCTGACCCCAGCAAGGCAACCCCAGTGAGTCTGAAATGAGGGCCAAGAGACAGCTAGGGGGCACAGCACTCCCTTTAGAGTTGCTGAGGCCGAATGCCCTACCCTCGGTGCCGACTCCGGACCAGTGTCTAACACCCAGGAGGATCAGGTATTCCCACTAACCACTGGCATATTTCATTTGGCCTTGGAAGCCTTGGGATACAGATACATAGATACTGAGTCGAAATCACATACAAGAAATAGTGTGGGCCTCACAACCACATGGTTTATATAGCCCCAAAGTTGGATCCATGTATATTTATATTTAATGCCCTTTCCAATACTTCCATCGCTTCAAGCAAGGTCATGGCTGCATAAGCGGCCTTTCTAGTTGACCTTATGGGCCTCAATTATTGATTTTATTGTTACCTTGTGGACATTTTTTTTGCCTTATTGTTTCTTAGCCAAGTTCTCAACATTCTTCCTGTTTCCATTGCCACCATCCATCAGCTATTTTTCTTGTTTTTTTTTGTTCTGATTTCTCTTTTTTTCTATATATACACCCAGTTTGTGTTGTACTTACAGTTGTTGGACCCCTCTTCTGTGCTACAAAGAATGTGGTGTTGAGTGATCCCTCCATATGTTAAAGAAGCCTCCTGACAACTGTCCAAGAAGGACCAGGAGTGAGTACAGATTTAGTGAGATTTATTGATTGATTGTCTAGCACCTGGACCATGGCACAGTATCGGCACTGTTGCCACCTGTCCTTTCCCTTCTTCTGACCCAACTCAGACTCTACCCCCCAGGTCCCTACTCTTTTGCCTGGGCAGCCTTTTTGCCTGGTTACAACATCACCCCCAGATGGAGCTGGGCTATCGTGGGTGGCTCCACAGGTGATCCCAAGTGTCAGAGAAGAGAAATACAAGTAGAGGTGCACAGTACCTGGCATTGGATGCATCCAGGCTACAGGTGTAAAGGAAAAGGTCATCTGTATGGAGAAAGAAGGAAAGAAAGAAAGACAGACAGGAGAGAGAGAAGGAGGCAGCATGCCCTGACAGGTACACAGTGAGCGTTTACCCCCGCTGACATACTTTTGATTGGTGGCCCTCCCCACTTGCTTCTATGACATTGACCATGTCAACAGGATCAAATTCCCAGATGCAGCTGCACTCACCTGCAACAAAGAACCTAAGTGGTTCAAGCTGGTTTGTGTCAGGGGATGACTCATGGGTCCCCATGACCCCCCTATGGCCCACAACCCTATGTGTAAACAGCCCTATCCAGGGCACACTGCTGTGGGTAAGAAGGTGAGAAGGAAGCTAACTTCTCACCTTCCCAATCACAATGGCAAAAATAAACATACATATATCTGCTGGATGGGTACATAGTTGCAATCAAGCGTGATAAGTTTAAGTACTGTTTTGTCAAATGGGCAGTTTGTCAGCACCAAGAACTGCAAGCAGCAGCATAGAAGATGAAAACTTGTCTCATCCACCAAAGATCTAGTGATGATTGAATCTGCCATATATTAAAAGGAGTGCAAAGCAGAGAGAAAGCACAAAGGATACAACACAGACAAGCTTGGAGAGCTATCAATGCCCTTTTGGTAGATGCAACTAACATGCATGGAAAGGCTGTAAGTAATGGCGTTATTTAGTGGAACTGAATTCAACATCAGTGTTAAGAGGATCCTGTAATCTGGGAGCATTGGTATTTGACGTATCTGACAAGTAGATCCGACTACCACCGAATTGATGAACATTCTATTGTCACATGCCCCAAGATATTCTATGAATTCAGCCACATGTACAGTGTACTTGAAGGACTTACATTGCTGGGATTGTCTTCGTACTTAGAATGATGAATGTTCACCACGACATTACTCGTCTGTAATACCGGTTAGTTTCTTTGGCCTTCCGCCACAGTCAGGCATGGTAAACTCACGGGTCGACGTGGTACCAGTGGTATGGGCTTCCCGCGTTCATGGGCAATCACCACTTTCCTCTGAGCGGATCGTAATGCCTCGAGAGAGTTATCTAGTCTGTCTTGAGGGAGTGTGGGCGCAAGCAACTGCTTTCGTGCTCTTGACCGCATGTGCAAGCTAGCGGGGCACAAGGAAGATTATCAGTGAGGCTGTGCACGGACAAGAGAAAATAGTGTTTGCTATACTTTGCGAGCATTGATATGGGATACATGGGACTAAGGGTCTGAAGACGTGTGGTAAGGCGTGTGAAGAATCCTTGTGAGTGGACTCACCATTCCGAGTACGAGAGTGCTAAATGTAAAACCATGGTGGGCATACTAAAATCATGGTCTCGGTCCAATGCTTTCTACCAAGAGAGACAACTGTAGCCCATACTTACAATACTTATCAAAATAATGGTTTGAAGACAGGTCGCGCTACCCGTGGCTATGGACCAATACACCATCGTGTTGATGGCTCTGTCCGTCCTATTAACGAGTCCGTTCGGTCCCGATGTGCGGCATTTCAGTCATCGACTCACTTTTTGAAACCAGTCTTGCGGTACCAGAGCAGGAATGTGGTCAATATTGCAATTAGAGCGTCACATGTTGCCTGAGGTTTAACAGCTCAGAACAGGTAAGTCGAGGCATTGAAGAGGAGGACCACACACCTGCGTCGTTAGCCAAAGCTTAGATAACCAATTCCACCTATGGGAGATTTCTTCGAGGGATAATGATATGTTCCTGAGATGTCATTGCCAAATCAGGATGGTGACAGGATGCAATCGGCAGGCGTGATGACACGTACGCCAGAGTTGAAAGTGCTGAGAATAAATTACGGGACCAATGAGGACCCAGAAAGCAAGGACAAGGACTCTGGGCTCACCTGTGGCAAAAGCTGACGGTAAACCAGACTTCAGTCTATGGGCATGGGACGTTCTGGGTTTAGGGACTCACCGAACTGCATGATAACAAGGGCTTGCTGTCATGCAACCAGTAAGCATCGCTGCAACTAATATGAAGAGGCACCAGCGCAGTCAACATACTAGGGGTGCTGCGACACAAATGTTCGCAGAAACTGACGACACGGTTACGAGCAGTATAACCCATTAATTCCCACAAGAACTCACGGCTCCAAATACGAAACACAAAGAAAGACTGAACGACAAGGGACCCAACTGTTGTGGAGAGGTGATATGATGTACCCTCCCTGAGGAAAGTGTTGAATGGGGGAGGATGCCATCGCTCAATTGTGAAGAATGCGTACCATTGCGCTGTTGCCAATGCGCGTGGATTGAAATAATTTTGGATGTGCAACCACCAAATCATTTTAGTCATGCAGACCCTTGAAAGGATGAACCACGAGCCTGTCAGGATGGATATAATCTAGAGCTACCAATGTCACGTACGTTTGAAATAGAATGACAGCCCTTCAGGAGCCGAACGTTATCAGAATCGGTCGTCCGGTCGTTTGAAACAAACCACGAGAATGAACGTACCAGAGAAATCCGACCTATTGTCGCCAGGCGCTTCAGCGCATCAAACTCGAGTCAACAATGAATGACGTACCGCTCGCCGCGTCCATCTACCATCCTGAGGGAAACGGTTGTAGTAAAGGGCAACCTGTACTGTGAGTATCCCAAAGAGACTGAAACCGCCGTATGAGTGGGTAAACGCCTGGGCTCAAACATTGATCTCATCTGGAGAAAGTATTCTTACAACGTAGCGACAGCGTTCCCGACGAAAAAGCCACCAAAGATGTTTTCCAGGGGCCCCGTCATAATGCGAACCATGTCGGATAAGCGGGGAAAAGGGAAGACGGCCACTTGGGAGAGACGAAAGGAACGAGGGAAGCCCCAAACAGTTCATTTGCATGCTTGTTCATATATGACAAGAGGTCGGGGATTGGCGTCGATCATGGAGATTACGTCGGTGAAATGATCATTGCCATTCTCCCTCAGCTTGTCCAAATTGAGCTCTAGGGTGCGAGCAGGCCATGGCCGCGGAATGATACGCCAATGATTGGATCAACGCCAAAACGACCTGGTCCCTTCCAGTCCTCTTCTGAGTGCAACGCTCACGGTGTCGTAGAGACCTAGCCACTGCTGATCGGCTGACCAGTGTTTGTGATTGTGCAAGAGCTACCGCCACGTTGTAAATGCTTAATGCAGACTGCCCCTTGATCGAGTCGGCGTCCGCAGGTGAGCGCCGCCACATTCAAAATCCTGCACGGAAACAGGCATGTATACAGTTTGCTATCAAACAATCAGAGGCTCGCGGAATCACCCGCCCGTATAATTTCAGCGCGAGGCGATGATAATTCATTCGTACTGGCACGAGTTGTTATCGCAAGGACAGAGTACTACATCCTTAGTTGGAATCAAGACTTACAACGGTACCTGCGCTATTCTACCATGGAGGAGTATTTGGAAAGGGTGGACGGTTCGAAATATCGGCAACTGAACTGGGTGGAACCCAGCAGATATTGCGGCGAGTGGAAGCTCACGAACGCGGTCTTAGGTACCAGAGTAATTAAATAAGGCTTGCGTACTGACCTACTTCACTTTTATACATGTCCTGCGTCAGTTGCACGCCCCTGCCGCCATAATGCATCCGCCGTGCGCATCATCTGCATGCTCATTGGCCACGCTCATTGGCTTCACGTCCGCTGTGCACACGGTCTAGCATTCCACATTAACCACTGCGTACTTAGTCCGCTTTCTTCACGACATAGTGTGACTGGTTTGGACTTGCCGTCAGGGGTGCCCCATGCCCTTTGGAGACTTAGGTAAGTTGGATTCCGGATATTTGTTTTATGCTCCCACTCCACCTCCTGGCTGCCTGCGGCCATTTTTTCTCTCCTGGTATTCTTCTCGTACTTTGCGTTGTACATGCTTCATCCTTTACTTTCATACCCAATCGTCGCACACTCTCCATTTCCTGCAATTTCTCTCCGCGGGTCGGCGCTTGCTTGGTGTGTTTCATTGGGTCAACACTGGAGGAACCGCCTCTGAGGTTGCAATGTGATGGTAATTACATCACGAATGGATAGCTGTTTTGTTTTGTTTGGTCCGGGCCTTCCGGCACAACAACTGTAGCGGAACGGTTCCAGAACAAACCCTGCACACAGCAATTGGTTGCAGGCCCTTCCCAATCATCAACGAGGCGCTGCACTCTTATGTCTCACTCTTCTGCATGGCTTCTTTGTTGTGCTTGCACACAGGGCATTTCACATCAATTTTTGATGGATATCGCAATATGTGGGGGTCGGCAAATGAGGGAAGACGTCCGAGAAAACATAAATCTCACGTGATGCTAAAATATGGCCACTGCGCTTCACCCGAAAACCATTTCATTTGACTTCACAACTTCTATTAAGTGTTGGTATAATTATTGCATGATAATAACATTAAAATGCATATATGGTATGGGAACCCATTTTAAAACAGGTTTATACATAACTATGGGACATCGGAAATGTACGAGCCTTTCTCATGCATCTGGGAGATTCTCAGAAATCCTAGTGGCCAAAATCTGCGTTCACACCCATAGAGTAATTGTGCCAAGTTTGAAGTCAATTGAAGAAGTGGAAAGGTACATTCCACTGCTCTGAAGCTGAGATGGATGCGGGCCCTAACCCAGTGCAACATATGTCGGTACTCATATAAAGACTAAACCGAAAAATAGTCCAATGTTATTATAATACTTCTTGGAAGTTTTGGGCCTCCACTTGCAGTAATCACTAATTTATGTGGGGATGCAACAAAATACAGCCTCATGGACGAGGAATAACTTTTGAACCAAGTAGAATTTGAAAAATCTGAGTGGCCAAAAGTTAGGTAAATAACACATCTACCACTATGCCAAAATTTGAGGGAAAAGGAAGGGATTGAAGGTACATTTGGAACTCACCTTTCCCAGAATGTCCGGACAGGCGCAAATAGGGATCACGTGTCAGGGTTTACCGACGCGCGCTTGCCCAACTTGACTCTGGCATCTTCTCTTTCTGGCTAGACTGACTTTGGACTTGAAACTCAACCCCCCCATACCCCCTTACTAAATGCCAAGGGATAGAGCTGCTTGGAAGTATTCCAAAAAAACAATTTCTTCTCCCCAAACCCGACAGATTAATAAAGCTTGGAGGACTGGTTTGGATAAACGACAGACAGAGGGGGGAGGTCACATAGTAAACGAGAATGTATGCCCGGGGCTGTCCACTCGGAGCCGCAGAACCTTTGGACCAATGACTGGGACTTCCGCTGTCCAGCCACCATTGATGTTGCCGCGTGTTAGCATGCAGGCTCATGGAGCTAGACTGGCTGGGAACCAGTCAGGGGAATCAACAGACGAAAGTGCTCATAGATTGAGCAAAAATGTGCAGACTAGAGTCTCAGTTCAAACACGCGAAATTCTTGGATCCATCACTCCGACTGCTGAGCTGCTATCACCATCTTGGCATACCAATTCGAATGTCCCTGTCCCAGCGCCTACACAAATAGAGTATATTTCCCATTCCAATACTTTGGGGGGGACAATTCCTCGCTTGCACAACAACTTGACGCGCACCGATACCTTCATCCCAATGACAAGGACATCCCAAGGGTTGGGGTCTTTAGCAGTATGAATAATGAAGAACAGAAAGAGGTACTCACACGGATAGCCAGCAAGTATTATCCTGTGTAGCACTCAGTAGTTGACTCAATATGGGGGACGGGGGGAAAGAATGACGATGATAGCTCGATGTTGCAATGGCCCGCACGGTTTTAAGTGGCTAATGAACAAGAACAGATATTGGACAAATGGGATAAGCAAATAGGGTGGGGAAACTGCTGCACATGGAACGGCACAACGTAGTGGGGTGACAAAACTCGGAGTGGGACAAGATGCAGAAAGGGGACCTAAAACGATATCGCAACGTAAAATGCATACCAGAACATCATTATGTCTTGGCTTCCAACACTGCAACAGCCCCAGCACCTGGAAGGATGGAGAGTGATGCGACGCGATCATGTTTGGCACGTCCATAGTTCAATCACTAGAATCCCCATTAATCTACTCATATTTGCATGGGTTTAATCATCTATCCTTACAATCTCCTTACTTCCAAAGTTTTAACGTGGTTTCCAACCTAGAGACGAGGGGTTTGGAAGAGGAGGACCGTCTGGCCACGATCGGGGCCAGTTTTGCTTATGTAAGTGTCACAACGTTACAACGTTGGTTGCCGACCCCCACAATATGATACACTCCCCCTTCATACTCGCGCCGGTCGACGCCAACCGCCCCTTCTCCGGGCTCACTTCACCGATTATTTTCACACCAACTTATGTAACTCGCTCTGCATGGGATACGGTAGAGATACGCCCCACCATCCTGGATGAGATACACATTTATAGTTAAGTGCTTCTGAGATCAAAATTACTCCAGGATCCTCCCATGTACGTTAGCATCTCATGTTCATGTTTAGGGCAGCTCTTGGGTAAGTGACTCGCCCCTATTGTTAACAATGCCGTCACCCCTAGGTCTCGGGCTACTCCACCGCAATCAGATGATATGAATATCCAGTTTTAAACCTTGGGTGTACAGCCATTGCGCGTGTAGTTACCGCTTTATCTCATATCAAGCGCGATGAATTGCCTGGTTGCTTGGGAGTCTCATCGCCCGCAGCTGAAACACTCGTAGACGGATTTTGTTGCCAGTCTCGCCACTTTCACGTCAAACAGCTAACCACTCATGCATTGTCGACCCAGCGTAACGTCGTTGCCTTCCGACATTGCTATCTCATCTTGATCATCCCTAAGTGGTATCCAATGCACTTACGCCTTTCTGCTGTGTTCATTATTATTATTATCCGATGCCTCAGTCTGCGCTATGGCCATCGTGCGCCCAATCCATCTCCGGAGTCCCATTCAACCCCTATCAGTCGCTAACTGGAGGTGTGGAATCGGCCGAACCGCACATGCTGCATAAATGCGGTGTGGTGAATGGATCCTTGTGCTAGGTGGAAAAGGGCACCAAAACAATTAAATTAGACATGGAAGGGCTTTAAGTTACAATCTAGCTGATGCCTTTGGTGTCTGTGACGGTGAATATTGGGAGGAATGAGCCGTATCGAGTTGTTTCTCCATCCACTGTGGGATGGGTTTTCTCTTTAGGCACGATTGCATTTCGTGTTGGCCGTAGTCGTGCGTCAACAATGGTGGCTCCACAGTCTTGTCGACTTTGACACCCGGCCAGTTCGGTCCAGTACCAGTGTTGCCCTTGTTAACGGGACCTACATATTGACGGAGCTGAGCTCCATAGTGCAAGCTGAGGCGCAAAAGTCAGCATTTGAGTACGAGACGCGCACGGCTTCTTCACGTACTTGGTGAGCATAGTGAAATTGTATACAGCGCCGAGTGGCTATGTCCAAGGTCAGAAGGCCCCTTCGACGCCAGTGGGGAAATGCCACTCACTATTCCCAAAACGAGAAGGTCTAAACGGCGAAATGAGTTCCAATGTCTGCTGACCAATGGTGCTAACGTACCAGAACCGAAGCCATGGATTGCGAACTTTATCCGAAAGAAACGTCAGTGCTAGGGATTGTTCTTCAGGTAAGGATACGTATGGTGATACACATGACAATAGCGATTACACTTGTGACTGTTCCGGTGTTTATTGAATAAATAATCAATTTGTTCAAGATGTTGTCAGTTCTAGGGGAATGAGTCTGTGAGCTCTCATGACATCACCCTCCGGGTCAAACTAACTGCTTAAAACCAGTTCTCTGCCGACGTAACAGGATGGTCATCGAGACAGCAAGTGTGACATCACAAATCGCCTATCAGTCATTTATATTGAGCGCGGGCACGTCAGAGCAGAGCAGTGCATGTGCTAACCTCCATAAGGAGCCATGATTCGGCCAACGATCGCTTCTGCTGGGGAACCGTGACGAAATTCGCAATATGGTATCCCTGATAGGAAGCGGCTAATGGGTAACGGTTTGGCAACACCATCAGCCGCACGTAAAAGGAACCACACCTATCCCAAGACCTATCGGACACAAGAATTCAATGCCACCGTCAATTCATAGTGCGTGAGATTTCTGCGTTACTAGTTGAACTGCCTTCGGCTGGTTGCGAATTTCCGGAGGGCGACTGCTAAGTCACAATGCGAGCATTACAATACTGTACTTTCACCAATTGAAGTGGGAGACCAATCCTAAGCATGAGTTTCATTTTGTACAGCGTCAACTCTCGTTATCACAGTCACAATCATGTACAGTACATTCATTTTGACGCCGATGGCAGT